TTTTTTTTTGGCTTCTTTCTTGCCCCACCCTCCTTCTTATAAAAACTTTCCATTTTGTACAACTCCTCAAAGCATCTCTATATTTGCTAGATGGGATGTTGCCTGATTCATGAATCTTTTAATAAAGTCAATCAGCTCTTCAAATTTACTTGGTTGAGTTTTGTTTTTTATCACTTTGGGCTAATATTGGGCCTAATTTTTCTTTTTCTTTTCTTTTCTTTTTTTTTTCGGGCCTAATTTTTCAACTCGAATTCAGAGAAGATCCTGGAATCTCTCTCCCTGCCTCAAATTACTCCTTTTGGGACAAAGTCAAGAGAGGCCTCCTGATCATTTCCAATGGAATGATTCCCACTTGCATGGGTCTGGTTGGCAGCTTTGAAATCCAAAACCCAGTTTTGTGAAAACTCCGAAGTGAGTAAGGCCCAGGGACTGACTCAAGTCACCAAACACATAGAGATGAATGTATAAACCCAAATGCCAGTGCATCAGTTTACCGTACGAAATATTACTATTGAAGGAGCTGGACCCTCAAGTTTACTGGTCAGTGTCTACTTTATCCTTATATTCGAAGCTTTCAGCACAGGGCTGGGCTCAGAGTTTAATAAATATTGATGTTTATTGAAGATTGAATCCAAAGTGAATTTAAAGTGAGTTTGTATTTCCTTTTCCTTGGCTCAATTTGCTTTCCATTACAGTGACAGTTTAAACACTGAGAGCATTATTTACTGGCTTTGTTGTTGTTGTTGTTGTTGTTGTTAAGCAAGAAGCAGAGAGGAAGCAGTTTTCCTCTGGGATTAATTTAGTTGTTTCTGAGACTTGTACTCCATCAGGGGCTTCAAATGGGTTTGTCTAAAATGGAGCCATAGGTCTTGGTGAGCCGGCTCAAAGAAGCTCCCGAATCATTCCAAATAACAAGGAGTTTGTCCATGGTGGCGGTTTTTTCCCCTAGAAGTTAGGACATTAGTTCCCCAGTTTCTATAGACTGAATCTTTGTGTTCCTCCAAAATTCATATGTTGAAACCTATTTCCCAATGTGATGCTATTTGGAGGTGGGCCTTTGGGAAATGATTAGGTCATGAAGGGGAAACTCTCATAGATGGGGTTAGTAGGTTAGTACACTTATAAAGGAGACCCCAGAGGCGCACCTTGGTGGCTCAGTCAGTTATGCATCCAACTTTGGCTCAGGTTATGATATCACGGTTCGTGGGTTTGAGCCCCGCATCAGGCTCTGCACTGACGGTATGGAGCCTGCTTGGTATTTCTCTCTCTCTCTCTCTCT